ATTTTTATTCTCTCCATGTAGAGACAAATTCAAGTTTTGCAAATGTTCCATCATATCGGTTATATACGAAGTATACAAATATGCATATCGAAAGAAAGGGTTTAATCACCTTTGCAACGATATAAATTTAAAAAAAATCAGCTCAAAATTGTTTGAAATATAAGGAATTTAATTTTTCGAAGACCTGAACTTTGACCCTTTATAGCACTTGTAATATACATAAGTTTGCACAAAAAAAGTTTTATACCATTTAAATAAGTGCAAAAGGAGGACTACGTCTGTATTTTTAGGTTTTTAGTTATTTATATGCAATAATTAAATATAATTTTTTACCAAAGGTCCTATTTCGAACTTCGAAGGCCCATGTCTCGATTTTGGAGACTAACTTCGAAAAACGGAGAACTTACTTTTTTTACTTATGACTCAATCTCTTAAAAAAAATTGGTTTGGTCCAATACCCAGAAAAAAAATTGGTTTTGCCGTACAGTGCTATTAGTGCTACTAGGAAGATTGAGCTGTGTTATTTGTATTTAGTTTTAAATTTTCTGTAATTTTGTGGAAAAATAATTTTTAGTATTAAAGGAACAGCCCTTGACTTTTTAACAACACAGCCGGTTGCTTTGACAGCGTTCCAAGCCCCTATTCGGCCAAACGAGTTTTCAAAGTAAATAAAAGCAAATTAAAGTAACCAAGACGTGCAAAGCAAACCTGCTTTGAGCAAGCGCCTTAAGTCTCGTAAAAAAACTTTCAAACTTGATTTTCCAAAATGTTAATTTTTACAAATTCATGTTTCTGGCATACGGGTGACGAAATAAAACACCTCTTTCAGATAAAATTTTCGAGTAACGACAGCCAGACTAGAAACACAATGTTTATTAGTGTTGGGCAGTATCGATATCAAAAGTACTCAGAACTCGATTCTCAAAAGGATCGAAAACACCCGATTTTTAAAAGTATCGATACTGACTACTCCAAAATGCTCAGTACTCACAAAAGAATTAAAAGTACTCAGAACTTAAAAGAGCCCGAAAGTTTTCGGTATTCAACAAGTAAGAAAGTCTAAGTTCGGGCGGAGCCGAACATTAAATACCCGGCGCAAGTATTAAATATATGTTTTTTCACCTTTCCGAAAGCTA